CAATATGGAGATACCGCAAAGCGATACAAGTAGATCTACCACTTGATCCAGCAATTCCACTACTGGGCATCTACCCAAAAACTCAAATGTCACTTTATGAAAAAGACACCTGCACTCGAATGTTTATAGCAGGACAGTTCACAATTGCAAAGCTGTGGAAACAACCCAAGTGCCCATCAATTCATGAGTGGATTAACAAAATGTGGTATATGTATACCATGGAATACCACCCAGCTTTAAGAAACAATGGTGATATAGCACCGCTTGTATATTCCTGGATAGAGCTGGAACCCATTCTACTAAGTGAAGTATCTCAAGAATGGAAAAACAAGCACCACATGTACTCACCAGCAAATTGGTATTAACGGATCAACACCTAAGTGGACATATAGGAATAATATTTATTGGGTGTTGGGAGGGTTGGAGGGGGGAGGAGGGGATGGGTATATACAACCACAACGAGTAAGATGTGCAACATTTGGGGGATGGACATGCTTGAAGCTCTTACTTGAGGGTGGAGAGGGGCATGGGCAATATATGTAACTTTAACACATATACCCCCATAATACGCTAAAATAAAAAAAAATAAAAATTTCGTTCATTCAGTCAGATATGACCAGACACTTTTAAAGAACTAAGATTATGCTTGCAGAGCCTTCTTTGGAAAAACTGGCTTACAGAGTTTCCAGCCTTACAGGTGAGTAAGGGAAGTCATTTCCTAGGACGCCCAGGAACCTTAAGATATTTTGGGGACCTCAAGAAAGGAGGAATTCTTATAGGTGTTACAGGTGAAATCTGATGGGAAGTTCTTAGCTTATCTTTCTAGCCTTAGGACTACAAATAACAAGAGGCTTTTAAAAAATGCAATCTGAGATTGCCATAGAAAACTTGCAGGCTTGGCACCATGGCTCATGCCTATAATACTAGCACTTTGGTAAGCTGAGGCAAGAGGATTGCTTGCCAGCCTGGGCAATGCAGGGAAACCCCTTCTCTACAAAAAAATTTAAAAATCAGCTGGGCATGGTGGTACTGTAGTCCACACTCTGTAGTCCCAGCTACTCCAGAGCCTAAGGCAGGAGGATCACTTGAGCCCAGGAGTTTGAGTTTATAGTAAGATATGATCATGCCACTGCACTCTAGCCTGGGTGACAGAGTGAGACCCTGTAGGAAAAGGAGAGGTAAGAACAGGAAAGGGGAGGGGAGGGGAGTCGAGGGGAGCTTGGAGCTTTATTTTCAAGCTATTTAAAATTTTATTATTTAATATATTAAAAAGAAACAAAAAAACTTATTCGAAATCTTACTTTAAAAAACATTGTGTTAGTTGGTGCTGAAGACTGAACTATTCCCCTCCCTACCTCCCAAAATTCTTATGTTGAAGCCCTAACCCCTATATGACTGTATTAGAGATAGGGCTTTTTGGAGACAGTTATGACTAAATGAGGTCATAAGGATGGGGCCTTAATCCAATAGAACTGGTGTCCTTATAAGAAGAGAAATCAACACCAAAGATGTGTTCAAAAGAAAAGGCCATGTGAGGACACAGAGAGGAGGCAGCCATCTGCAAGCCAGGAAGAGAGTCTTCACCAGAAACTGAGCCCTGCCAGACCTTGATCTAGGCTTTCCAACCTCAAAAACTTTGAGAAAGTAAATTTCTGTTGTTTATCCCTTGCAGTCTATAGTATTTTGTTATGGCAGTCCAAGCAGACTAATATAGTCAGCAAAATGGATTCAGGAAAATTATGACATAATATACATCTATTTCAAAAATAAAAGGAAAAGCCAAGTAGTTTTAAGGAATAACAAAAATGGCACAAAATATCATGTTATAAGAAGCTCAAATTTGAAATAATTCAGTGCATATTTAGTCACCACAGTTTCTCAAGAAGAAACAGCCACATCACAAAAGTTAAAGAGGGTAAATTTACAATTTATAAAACTGTATTAAACAGACTAAAGTAATTTAAGTAATACAAAAATGCATGAATTATCCTAAGTAAAATAATAAGAGTCCAAATTTATAGTAATGTGATTATGTGTTTTAGGGTTTTTTTTAGCTTTAATATGGCAATAATGAAGTAACAAGCAAGCAGAAAAGATATGAGACAACCATGCACAAGACATCGCAGCTACTCACTTGTTGTGGAGCCATTCACCTAGAGTCTCTGGATTTCACCTTTCTCCTTTATAAAGTGAACTTATATGGAAGGGGTAAGGGGAGAGGAGTTAACAAAGATGACTCCTTTGGTTTCTCTGAGCTCTTGAATGTGGGACTGTCTAGAGCGGGGGTCCTCAAACTTTTTAAACAGGGGGCCAGTTCACTGTCCCTCAGACCGTTGGAGGGCCGGACTATAGTTTAAAAAAAACTATGAACAAATTCCTAGGCTCACTGCACATATTTTATTTTGAAGTAAAAAAACAAACAGGCAAAAACACCTGCATGTGGCCCATGGGCCATAGTTTGAGGACACCTGATGTAGAGGGAATATGTTGCCCTGCTTAGTGCCATTCAGCACCACATATACTGCAATTTAAAACTTACCCCCAAAGTTATGAATAAATGGATTTACAGTTCTCAAAACCCTTCTAACATAAACTGATAAATGCTCTTTAAAATGTTACATATAACATGGTATGATGAGAATCATAATCTCCTAGTAATTCACTGAAGAATCCAATCTTATTCAAATGCATTTTCCATTAAGTATTTTTCATTTTCATTTTTTAAATATGAAATAAGGTTTTGCTGAAAACAAATTAAAGGTCTTTGTAGTCATTGCTGACTTTTAAAAAATATTAATTATTCAAATAGTAAAATGAACAAATAAATTTCTGCCATTTTAAAATAATGTATCCTTCACCAGCAAATTGGTATTAACTGATCAACACCTAAGTGGACATATAGGAATAACATTTATCAGGTGTCAGGCAGGTGGGGGGGATGGGTATATACATACATAATAGGTGTGATGCGCACCAACTGGGGGATGGACACCCTTGAAGCTCTGATTCGAGGGGGGAGGGGAGGCAACGGCAATATACGTGACCTTAACATTTGTAACCCCATAATACACCGAAAAAAATAAATATAACAAAAGAAAACAATACTAAAATAATGTATTCAGGGGAATACTTATTCTAATTTATAGAATGAAGTGTTGCCCAATAAATTTTAAAAAATAAAATAAATAAAATAATGTATCTAATAAACACACAAAACCCTGAAGATGAAATAATCTTTATCAATACAAATCAGAATTCATTTGCTATATAAGTTATTATAGAAATTCTGGCCAGGAGCAGTGGCTCACGCCTGTAATCCTAGCACTCTGGGAAGCTGAGGCAGGTGGATCATTTGAGTTCAGGAGTTCGAGACCAGCCTGAGCAAGAGCGAGTCCCCCCACTTTACTAAAAAACAGAAAAAATTAGCCAGGCATAGTGGCATATGCCTGTAGTCCCAGCTACTTGGGAGGCTAAGGCAGGAGGATTGCTTGAGCCCAGAAGTTTGAGGTTGCTGTGAGCTAGGCTGATATCACGGTACTCTAACCCAGGCAACAGAGTGAGACTCTGTCTCAAAAAAAAAAAAGAAAAGAAAAGAAAAGAAATTCTAACACTGTAACTACTTTTTACAGTGCTATATGAGCAAGGAATCTTTGTAAATGGGTCTTTGGCACAGAATGCGCTCATTCAGGAACACATTTACTGACTACCTGCTATGAGCCAGATACGGTTCTAGCCCCATGGGAATGACGAGTAAAACAAACAAAATCCCTGCTCTTGGACTGGAGTGGTGGCTCATGCTTGTAATCCTAGCACTGTGGGAGGCCGAGGCGAGAGGATCGCTTGGGGTCAGGAGTTTGAGACCAGCCTGAGCAAAAGCCAGACCCCGTCTCTACTAAAAATAGAAATAGTCAGACAATTAAAAAAATATATAGAAAAAATTACCCGGGCATGTCAGCACATGCCTGTAGTCCCAGCTACTCAGGAGGCTGAGGCAGAAGGATTGTTGAGCCCAGGAATCTGAGGTTGCTGTGAGCTAGGCTGATGCCAGAGTGAGACTCTGTCTCTAAATAAATAAATAAATAAATAAATAAATAAATAAATAATAAATCCCTGCTCTTGTGAAGCTTAAGAGAACAGGATAGGAGACTCGATTTTCTCTGGATGCCTCAGAGATCAGAGCATGTATGTTCAAAGGATGTTTGTTAGAGTTTCAAAACTACAAATGCTATTTACTGATGAAATAGTATGTCCAATTTGGTCCAGATTCCCTGATGCTCTAGGGTTCTTTTCATTTTTACTATTTTGTGTCCCCATAGCTCAGGACCATCTCATAGCCTAAGGAAAGTTGACAGAGACAGCATCCATATAAAATCAGACAGATGAAACAAGTGACAACACTGGAACAGCCCTGCCAAATGAAATTACATGAATTTACACACATTCAGTAAATAATACCAACAAGCAGAACAAAGACCTTTTGTTCTGTCTTCTATGCATTTTTCCATCCTGTGAGAAGCTAAAAGATCTTCCCAGAATGAATGCTCCAGCAGAAAGAATTTAGGTGGCTTCTGCAAACAACACTTCCCCTAGAATATAGCAGTACAGCCTGCAGCTGTGCTCATCCAAATTATGAAATAAGCTGTCTTTCTTTGTATTTTCCAAAGCCATAAATGTGTAATTTAAAATTAAATGGGCAATATTACGTCAATAAAAATATCTTTCAAATCAAGAGTACGAGGGTATCATTTTAAAAGTTATAATGTATACATTTAAATGCCTATTGGCTTCAGAATACTTTTCACAATTTCAAGGAACAGTATTCTTAGAAAAAAGTGCATCCTTCAAAATGGAATTGACCTGCTCAGCTTCTCTGGCTGGAAACCTCAATAACGAGGCAACCTTGAGCAACTCCAGGTTCTATACATGTTTGTTCCACAAGGCCTCATGACATCCCTAAATCAGTGAGAAACCAGGCACTACTGACAGGGCACTGCTCCTACCTGAAGCTTCATTTTCCAGAAAGAATGCATTGGAGAGTCCTCAGCACAGCTCTCGCCTGCAGCATGGTCCCCGTGCTCCGCACTGGGGCGGGCTCTGCCTGCACAGCAGCTGCCCCCTATAGCAGCCAGCAGAAGCACATGGTTGGTTGTTGCAGCTGGACTTGTGAGGGCTTGCTGAAGCCCTCAGCATAACACTCCCATGATCAAACTGGACTAATTACTTCCTCCAGCTGATTTCCAAGGAATGAGGTAGTGAATGAATAATTCATGACAAGTCCATTCCAGAAACCAATTTCACTTCTGCTCTATGGTCTCCCCACAGCAATTTGCAAGGTAAAGATTCTAAGCCATACTTGGTGGTGGCCTGCAAGAAATGGAAGTTCAGTTTTCTAGTCCATAGTAGTAAATGTTACTGGATCTGTTTGTTCTTCTTGCATGCTAACCTATCACCCTGACTTACTTAAGAGATTTAAAAAAATGTAGAAAAGGTAAATGATTAACCACAGATGTCTGACAGAATAACAAATTTTTGCTTCTCCATAAAAACCCATCCTACATAGTGGTCCTGTTGTAGGAAAAGTAGCAAAATATGCTTGCCCTATGCTCAGCAGGTCAGTATTCACATTTAGCAAGAGATCCCTTCCTGCAAACCAAAGAAAATCATCACAGAGTGGGGGAGGGGAGCTCTGAGCAGCAATGCCAGGAAACAAACTGCTTCAAAGGGGAATTTTCAGGTCTCAGGCTATAAATAAATCTTTCATCTCATTGGTGTTCTTTGAGGAAGCACATGAACATTTATTTTCACCCATGTGTCAATGTTTACACACTTCCAAATGAGTGATGTCTGGAGTTGTCAATTCTCTGCAACTTAAAAACATAATTCCAAGAGGAACTTGAACCGAAGAACAGAAAGCCTTTCTCCACCTCTAGGAAATCCCATCACCTGTAATGTTCTCCACCTGTTTCACACACCCATCATTTTTTCCTGTTTCATTCTTTTTCTTCTGTACTCTGTAAATATGTCAAGCTTTTGCTGTAAGTTAATTTTTCAACCATGAGTATTCTGTTCCTAGCTGCTTCTAATTTATTTGTTGGCTCTGCAAACTGATTTTCTAAGTGTCTCCTTGGCTCTGTATTTTACCTTTTCACTTCATGCTGTTATTTTATCACTTCTGAGCTTATGCTTTATGCAATTCAAGTTGTTATTAAGCTATTCCACAGTACTCAAGAATTCTCTTCCCTTTTTTGAAGGTAAATTATGATTTCTTCCAGAAGACTCTGCATCCTTTTTCTATACACACTGGACCTTTCTCTGTCTGTCCTGCTGTGTGTGCAGAGGCCTGGCCATGTCTTCTCATTGGCTCATGCCTCACTGGACATTCTGTTTAGTCTCTGTGTGTGTGATACTATGTCATCTAGGGCTGCAGTCCCCCATCCCCAGGCCACAGACCAATACCAACCCGTGACCTATTAGTCCCTGGAAAAATTGTCTTCCATGAAACTTAGGAAGAGGGGGCACAGCAGGAGGTGAGCCACAGGGAGCAAGCAAAGCTTCATCTGTATTTATAGCCGCTCCTCATTGCTGGCATCACCACCTGAGCTCTGCCCCCCTCCGCTCCCACCCCTACCCTGTACCCAATCTGTGGAAAAATTGTCTTCCATGAAACTGGTCCCTGGTGCCAAAAAGGCTGGGGACCGCTGGTTCTAGGAGAGAATTCCCCTTCAAGCTATATCATGAGCTGGTGCAGCGTTCTATCAGCTTTGTGCAGATCTGCAGGGGGGTGGAGGTTCACCAAGTATGGGAAAGGGACAAGAGAACCAGTCTCTGTTGGAACCCTAACTCTGTCCTCTCCCAGGGATATTCTGTTCCTCCTCAACTTTCTTTAATTCCCTCAAAGCCTTATGAGATTTCAGGTCCATTAGAAAGTCAGCCCAGGTTGTTCTTTTCCTCCTTTGCAGTAACATTCCTTTTCCTCCATTTCCTGACTACCCACTCCTCCATCCCACCCCAAGAGTGAAAGAAGGGAGCCCTGTCACCTGCGGCTCACAATGTGCCTCTTCTTCCACTTCCTGCTCTACAAAAAGACTTGCTTTCTAGATGTTCTCTTCTGCTGTGCATTCTGCTAGTTCCAGTTCCTGATGAAAATAATGAGCTCTAGGACTGATCACTATTCTACCTCTCTTTACTTCCATCTCAGCTTAGACACATTAAAATAGTGATCTCCAGTATGTTTTCCTTGTCACAGGAGAGAGGCATTCAGGGAAGGGCTTCCAGTCCCTTGGAATTCCCAGTGCTCCTAAGAGGACTGCCTAGACCCACCCACTCTTCTGCCACAGCCATTAGGGATTTTTCAGTATCTTGCTCACTCACTTTCTCTCACAGAGCATCTGCACAGTATAGGATTAAGATGACTCTGATACCCTGGATTTGATTAATTCACATTATATTCCTATATTGAAACATCACATGTACCTTATAATGATATACTACTATTATGTACTCATAATAATTAAAAATGAAATTTTTCAAAAAAGAATGATTCTGAGCCATGCCCTCTGAATTCTTGGAAACTTTCATTTCTCTCACTGACCATGAGCTATTTTCTTTACTGAATATGCTGCTGGTATATTTCTTCCTTTTTACCTAGTTGTCGTAGATACCGTTGAGTCTAATTAAGAATGGATATTTTAAAATGTAGCTTTACTCTGCCATCTTTAAACAGAAATCACACTATGTAGAAAAGCAAAACAACAGCAAAAAGCCCTGATATGGCCTCATCAAAAATATTTCTAACTCAAAAGACTTATGGAGTAATAGATGGCAAGACAGCAGCACTGTAACAAAAAGACTACAGTGAATTGTTGGTTGCTCACACAATGACCCTCCCTTTCCTCCTCCTCAACAGAACCCTGATTCTCTTCTGTGATCCCTCTCCCTCTCCCCAGTGACCACGTGTCTCAGGGATGCTGACCTCACCCTTTGTCCCTGGAGTAGGCTGCCTGGCAAGAGCCTAATTCATGAGGTTCTTGAGGTGGTATCTGCTGGAGATATCTGGGAAATATCTTCCCCACCCTTAGGGTGAGCAACAGGAAGCTTCCCTTCCTCTCTTCTTCCCATGCACAAAGCTACTGACATGACCATAAAAGGAAACATGCCTTAAAATGAAGCAGACCTCATGAATGGTAGGACAGACAGACAGAACCTGGGCCCTTAAGTATACATCTGATATACTGGATCAACTATCTCTGAAGCCCACCATGCCCTATTATATGGGCATCCTTTTCTATAAGCTAGAAAAGTTTTTCATTATTAAAGCCAGGTTGGATTGGCTGTTCTGTTACTTGCACCTGAAAGCATCCTAACAACATTTGGACTATGTACTATTACACCCTCTTATGTTATTAGATATTAGATATCTAAGGTAAATATCTAAGGTATTCAGTTATAGCAGCCTGAATGGACTGAGACACATGAGTATGCCAGTGTGAAGATTATTCCTTAACATGTCAAAGAAGAAAAGTCAATGAGAGACTGAGTGAGCTACGAATTTGTTAAGTACAGATACTTGATAGCACAACTTAAAAAAACTTAAACAAGGAAAAAAGTCTCCTAAAATGTAACACAAAGAAAACCTAATCTAATCACATCTTCCATTTTGGACAGTCTGTCACTGTGATGGAATGTGATGGGTCAGGAATATCATCAATAGTTAGAAATAACTATATTTTAAAAACAGAACTCTATTTCAACAACTGAGCATAAACATTATTCAATGTTTGTATAAGATAAGAAAAAATTTGGAATCAGATTTAAAAGTATATGAACATCTGGGAAGTGTTAGGTAACACTAGCTTTTAAATTATTTATTGTTTACTGTTTATGATTGTTTTCTGCAACCCTGGCTTTATCTCACATTTAATAAGCATATTTTTTTGTTCCCCAAAACTTTTCACTTTGAAAACCTAAAATCTATGAAAAAGCTGAAAGAATAGTACAATGAATACCTGTATTTCCTTCACTTATATACATCATCAACTGTTATAAAATTTGCCACATTTCCTTTCTTTCTCTGATACACATACTCTGATGTATAAAATTAGCTGTAATTCTGTAATTATCATTTAATATATAGACAATATTCAAATTTCCCAGTTGTCCAAAAAACACAATTTATAGCTGTTTATTTTTTCTAATAGGTTCCATCAAGGTTCACATATTACATTGGTTATGTCTTTTTAGTCTCTTTAAATCTAAAATATGTTTATTCTGTCTTCTTTTGAAAAGTTTCTGTTCATTTCCTTTGCCCATTTATTGATAGGGTTGTTTGATTTTTTTCTTGTTGATTTTTATAAGTTCTATATAGATTATTGTTATCAGCCCTTTACCGGATGTGTAGAAAGCAAATATTTTCTCCATTCTGTAGGTTGTCTATTCACTCTAATGATAGTTTCCTTGGCTGTGCAGAAGCTTTTTAATTTGATCAGGTCCCATTTATTTATTTTTGCTGCTGCTGTGATCGCTCTGGGGGTCTTCTTCATAAATTCTTTGCCTAGGCCAATGTCTAGAAAAGTCTTCCCAACATTTTCTTCTAGATTCTTATGGTTTCATGCCTTAGAGGTTTAAGTCTGTTATCCATCTCTAATCATTAGGGAAATGCAAATCAAAACCACAATGAGATATCACCTAACTCTAGTGAGAATGGCCTTTATCAAAAAGTCCCAAAACAACAAATGCCAGTGTGGATGTGGAGAGAGAGGAACAACTCTTATGTTGTTGGTGGGGCTGCTTTAGTACAACCCCTGTAGAAAATAATTTAGAGATATCTCAAATAGCTAAAAATAGAAATACCATTTGATCCAGCAATCCCACTACTAGGCATCTACCCAAAGGAACAAAAGACATTCTATAATAAAGACATCTGCACTCGAATGTTTATGGCAGCACAATTCACTACTGCATGGATGTGGAAACAACCCAAGTGCCCTTCAATCCATAGTGAATTAATAAAATGTGGTATATGTATGCCATGGAATACTACTCAATTACAAAAAACAGTGGTGATCTAGCACCTCTTATATTATCCTGGATAGAACTTGAGCCCATCCTTCGAAGTGAGGTATCACAAGAATGGAAAAACAAGCACCACATGTACTCACCATCAAATTGGTACTAACTGATCAATACTAAGGTGCTCACATGGTAGTAATATTCACTGGGTGTCCTGGGGGGGGGCAGTAAACTCACAACTAATGGATGCGGTGTGCACTGTATGGGGGAAGGGCATGCCTCTAGCCCTGGCTTGGGTGAGACAAAGTCATTACTTGTAACCAAAAGGTTTGTACCCCCATAATATCCTGAAATAAATAAATAAATAATCTAAAACAGTCCCTTCACATGTTTCTGTTTTTCATGATAAGCAGCTTCTTAAAAGTGAGAGGTTTAAAGTTCAAATTTTCCTCAAAAAATTCTTAACATTACCTAGAATTTAATAAAATAATTTTTTCAAAGTTCAATTTGTAAAAGATTCTAGCCTATGTGACTGAGTTAAATTTGAGATGACAACTACTATCTGTGAATTGGTAAGGGAGGGTCATTGATGCCAGAAGCAAGACAGTGACACTCACAGAGTGACCACCTCCCACAAATTAGCCATTTCATCTCCACCAGTTTCCAAGGAATAAGCAGGGGCTCATTCAAGTTCAGTAAGGACCCTAGGGCAATCTGATAATTAGAAGATAGGACTTTTGCTCTCAGGGAACAGACGTTGGCATATCTTGGTTAACAATCTTGGGGTGCAATACAAATCACTTGAGCATATCTTTCACAATTTGGGCATGTGACTCTGCCTAGAAGAGCTAGTTATGTATACAGCTAGTAATACATGAGCATTATGCCTTTATCAGCCTAAGCCTAATTTAAAACCAAAGTCCTGGGTCAAAAGATATTATTAAGATGTCCTTATAACTGTACCACTAGTAGTTACTCCAGTTATTCACATATTATCTGAGTAATGTGAATCCAACTGCAGTCCCCTGCTCTGCTTTCAAAAAGGACAGGCTTCTGAAGTGTGGTAAACTGAGTTCTTCATAAGCAAACATGAAAAACGCACAAACTCAGCATTAGGATGACCAGATGAGCAGGGTGACAGCTCATTCCCTGTGCAAATGTGGTATGGAAGAAAGATACGAAATACTCCAAAATGCAGCAAGCACTAAGCGTATCTGTCAGCAGAGGTGCCTGCTGTCCTGATAAGGGGTGTCTGTGAGACACTGATGCAAGATGGGGACGTTCATCCTTGGCATCCTGCCACACACCCATACCCCTCACACTACTTTTTTTACAACTTCATCTACTCCTAGGGCTTCTTTTATTCTAAAATTTCCATCTTTCTCTCTCTAGCTTAGATAGATTCCTATCTAAAGATTCAGACACAACTGAATTCTGAACATCTCCAGCTAGCCCACCCACAAGGACCTCAGACTTGTGTGTCCACCAGCACACTCACCATCCTTCCTGCCACGCCTCCTCTAGC